AGGGAATATCAATTTAAAGTGCTTTCTAAAAATTACAATGCATGATTTTAGAGCAGGAACAGCTTTAACAATTTTCTATTCCAGTTTTCTATCCCTTTCCTTCCTTTTTTAAAATAATGAGAAAAACATGGTAAAAAAATTATTCAAATTCACGTCTACTTAGTAAAACCAAGACTCAGATTTTCGGATTTCTAGTGCACTGTTTCTTTCTGATTATTTTTTGATAATCTTGTCATTCTTTAATGTCTGTAGTGATTATCACCAACTTATTTTTAATAGCCTTTTCCACAGTTCTTACTGAAACTGACAAAATTTTAAATATATGTATATATATGAACATTAGAACAGTACAATAAAATCAGTTAATATATTCAATTCTCAAGTCCTTATTAGGAATGCCATTACCTTATTTTAGCACAACTTTGAACAGTATATTTATATAGGAAATATACAGATTCACACAACAGTTGATGATGCCATTATAAAGGGTGAAGACAAGCTGGAGAGTTGAAGAGTCTGAGCCACCTGGGAAGCAGCGGCTCTCTTATTCCAGCTGGTGTTTGTTAAAGGTGTTAACAGCCCCATGGCTCTCTACCCTTTAGTGCTGCTTCTAACCCTTGCTACAAAGGAAGAGTTGAACAAAAAAAGTTTGTGCAAATCACTTGAGCCAATCATTTGATGCCTTCAAGAGCTGACCACCAATGCCAGGAAACAAAGCCACTGGCCAGGTCTGGGGCAACGTGCCTGGAAACTCTGCAAACCCAATGCAATAACCACGAGCAAGACTTTTAAGGCATACAAAACTGAGGGGCTTGAGAAACTCGGTCTTAAACATTGACTTAGTTGTATTTTTAGTGACAAAATAACAACTAGGTTAGGAATGTAACACCCATTTCTTTCCAAGCTTTGGGAAAGCACAAACTAGAAGAGCTGTATCAGCCCATTAAAACCAAAAAAACCAAACCTGTTGCCGTCGAGTCGATTCCAACTCATAGCGACCCTATAGGACAGAGTAGAACTGCCCCACAGGGTTTCCAAGGAGCGGCTGGTGGATTCGAACTGCCGACCTTTTGATTAGCAGCCAAGCTCTTAACCACTGCGCTACCAGGGCTCCATCAGCCCATTAGCAGAAAGTTCTACCACTGTCCTTATTAGGACCAAACAGGAGTGGTTGGTCAAGAGGGCATTTGAAGATTCTTATGCACAGAGAACCAACAGAGGTCACAACACAGGTGTTTGTCTTAGTATTCCTTTTACTCTTCTATATTTTTAATATTGTCCAATTAAAAGAGGAAAAAAAAACTAGATGGCAGCAAAAGAACTAAGCCACCTGTATTTGAGAATGTTGATGGCATAGCTAGTAAGACAGATAAGCTTATATTACAATAAATGACTTGTAATAAATTCTAGACACAAAGAAGGTTTAGTGCAGTGATTCTGGGTGGCACAGAAGGTCTTCACATCTTCTTTGCAAAGAAGAAAAGTCATGATTGAACTTTGTTCAATATGTCAACTGAATTTAATACTTTTCCCGAGTAAAAACAGAAGAACCAACTGTATCCTGAGCACCAGATTTGAGCTTCAGATGTCTAGAATCATCAAAATATAAAGCAAACTGAGTATTTTCCTTTCTGTAATCATCATCTTTCCCTAGTATACTTTTTGAAAGACAAAATCCCAAGTGTGCCAGCCTTTTTACCAGTTCCATTTCTGGCACGGTTATACCAAGTTTCTACTGTATTGCTGCTCAAGAGTTTTTAAATGAAGGCTTGATAATTAGTATTGGAATATGAAAAAATTATATTAAAGAAGTTATTAATGCATTTGTGTATAAAATTATATAATTTACAGAAATGTCTTTTTTAAACTAGGCATTTCATGGGTGTACTATGAATAATTTTACTTAAAACTGGGATCAACTTGAGGTGAAGGTAAACTATTGGCATAAATGTTTGTTTGAAATATAGCAGGATGCCAGCAACTTACATGACTAAAAGACACATACTATTAACAAAAAATATACAAAATGTAAAAGGAATGAAGAGAAGTTACAGGTGGTGCAGTGCAATGAATTACTTAATATGGCCCTTCTAGCCATAGTTTTTGTAATTCTCATCAAAAGACTGGGTGAGGACTATACAAATGAGGTACTTGTGGCCCACCAAGGGGATTGGATAGCTTGTTAATAATGTAAATAATGTGCATGGGACCCTTGTGGGAATGGGACTATGCAAATAAGGTGTATGGAACCCTAACAAGGGGATTGGTCAGTTTTGCCATCCCACTAGCCTTAAAATGAGCCATCCCAGAGGCAGGAAAGGAGGATCTTACTACCACCAAGAAAGAAAAGCTAGGAGTGGAGTGCATCCTTTGGACCTGGGATCCCTGTGCTGAGAAGTTCCTGGAACTAGCAGACCAAGAGAGAGAGAGCTGTAACTCTGAAGACGGTGAGAAGAGGCGGCAGAGAAATGGCAGTGGCAAAGAAATGGTGGCAACAGAGGCAAGAGACTGGCAGGAAATGGCGTTCTTGGTCCATGGAGTGAGAAAGCTGAGTGCCTTCGGGCAGGAGGCTTGCTGGTGGAGTAGGGTGCCTCCACGCACTTGGTGGAGCTAGGTTTGTCGACTCACGGAGCTGGAGCTGAGTGCCTTTGGACTAAGGCTTACTGGCGGAGTAGGGTGCCTCCAGGTATTTATTGGCAGAGCTCAAAGAGCTTTGTAACACTTGCCCAAGCAGGGCAGAGGCCAGGCTGAGGAGCCAAAGGCCAGAGAGAGACCTCTGGCAGGCACGGCTGAGAAGAGGCTGTCCTGATTGAAGAATCATATCCTTAGCGTTCCTGAACCTGAACTGTAACCTGTTACTTCCCTTATAAACCCCACAACTGTGAGTATGGTCTGTGAGTTCTGTGTGGCCACTGCAACAAATAATCAAACTCAGCAGAGAAGCAGAGAATGCTATGGGAGGGATGGCTGGTGTCACAATTGGTAAAAAGGTTAGAGAGAAGAGGTATGTCTGACCTCTGCCTCACAGGAATCAGCCTTGGGCTATTTATGTTGATTTTCCTTCCCTGTTGTGAAGTCAGAGCAGGTCAGATGCCACCCCCACCATGCCATTTCTACAGGTGTAATAGGTTTATGCATGTACACTTGCATAAGGCTGGACAAGTATAAACTGAATGGGACAATAAAAAAGTCTCAAGTGGAAGCTTCTATAGATCTCTCATATTTCTCTGATAAATTAATGTGCTTAAAAACAAGGATTTAGGGTAGGGGAGGTGTGATGATTAGTTTTATGTGTCAACTTGGCTAGGCTAAAGTACCGTATTATTTAATCAAACATTAATTTAACTGTTGGAATGCCTGGGTGGTGCAAACAGTTAAGCACTCAACTGAAAGGTTAGAGGTTCAAACCCAGTCAGTGGCTGGGAACTTGTCAGAAATGCAAATTCTCAGTGCGAGTTCAAACTGGAATGAACAGGTTGAAAGCCCTGGTTCCTTGGAAGACAGGCCTGGCGATCTGCTTCTGAAAGGTCACAGCCTTAAAAACCCTAAGGAGCAGTTCTACTCTGCACATTTGGGGTCCCCATGAGTTGGAACTGACTCAATGGTAACCAACAACAGAATGGCCTAGGCTTAAAGAAATCAACTATTAAAGTAAGTGCATGGAAAACAACTGGCCAGAACGATCTGATATGAAGTCTACCATTTCTATACTTCAAAACTTAGCTGTCACAGCTGATTAATGTAATTGCTGTCAATAAGTTGTATACCTGTAGAAAGTTGAACTGGCAAAAGTTGAGTGACAGATATATTTACAACAATGACCAAAAAAAAAGAGCAGCTGCTGAGGCTGATTATATACACCCAAACACCTCATGGGATTTGGTTCCTTGGTTTGGAGGCTTGGGGTCATGGTTTCATGGGACATCCCAGCTGATTAGCCTAATAATGTCTTCAGTGCTTCAGTTCTACCTCCTGGTTCCTTGCATAGTGCCTGGGATTTTAAAAGCCTGAAAATGGCCATTCAAGGTACAGTTGGCCTGTATCCGCCTGGAGCAACTGAGGAAGGAGAGTCAAGGACAGGAGAAGGAAATGGAATGTGTGGTTAATTGCTTCCATGAACAACTGACTCCTTTGCGATGAGACCAGAAGAACTCGATGGTCCCTGGCTACCATTACTGAACATTTTGATCAAAGATTTCTACAGAAGAATCCTGATTAAAAGGGGGAAAATACAGACCAGATACTAAAATTTTCATAGAATACAGACTTTCTGGAACCATCGAGGCTGGATGAACCCCTGAAACTATTGCCTGAAGATAATCTTTAAACCTTAAACCAAAAATATCCCCTAAAGTCTTCTTAAAACCAAACAATAGCTTAGCTTAACTAGTAAAGAATGTCTATCTTGAGCATTGTGCTCTTTTAAGATCTAACTGTATGGGATCAAATTAACAACAGCAACTTGAACGACAGGAAAATTAGGGGGCAGTGAGTTTATGTTAATGAGGAAAGAACAACTCAAAAAAGGAGGGTGAGAATGGCTGTACAATTTGAAGACTGTAATCAATGTCAATGTATTATACATGTAGAAACTGCTGAATTGGTGTGTGTATTCTTGTAACAACAAAAATAAAATTATTTAAAAAAAATTAACAACTGTATATTCGGTGTTTAACCTCACAAAAACCTTTTTCACTAGCCCTCAGCTGGTAAGAATAAAGAAGGGAATATAAGATTAGCTTCATGATACTCATTTGTGAGTTAAGATACAAGAGGAGACAATATAGATTTTATGACATTTCATGTTAAGCCTGATTCCATGCCAGAACATTTTCTGTTTGGATGAATGAAGCAGAACTTGGTCATATCTTAATAATCTCATAGAAAGGGAAGAGTTCAAGCATAAGTACAAGCTGCCCTCTGACACATCACAATAAAGTAAACATGGAATTTTTCACAAGTTCAAAGCCTCCAGTGATACAATTTTTTGGACTGTGGGAGATGGTCAATTAAAAATCTAACATAAAGCTAAATGGTGACTAAATGAATCACTGCAAAAAGTGAATATATGGATAAGAAAGGATAAAATAATTTTGATGCTACCTTTTCAACTATTATTTCTGATGTAATCATTCTTGCTAGAATCGTCCTCAAAGGTGAAAATGAGCAGGTGATGATATAGCCAGCAGAAGAAAGTCCATGTTGATAACCTCCACCTGCTGATCCTGACACTGCATCTTAAATGGTTCATACAATCTGCTCAAGGTCCCACATGGGCACAATGACTTGTCTTATACTTTAGCAATAGTGGCTGCCCCACGCCACAGCAACTGGGATCAAGGAGACACATTTTGATTAAACCAGGGCTTCAAACCAGTTCATTCCAGTTTGAACTCGTGCTGAGAAGTAGCATTTCTAACAAGTTCCCAGGCAATGCTAATGCTGCTTAGAAACCAATTCTGACAACCACTAGTTGAACAGTTCAGAAGGAACTCAAAATTTATTATACACCTGGGGATCTTGTTAAAATGTAGATTCTGATTCAGTATATCTGTGGGTGGAAACACAAATTTTCAGCAGGGATTTGAACCGGGATGAACCAGTTTGAAGCCCTGGATTAAACAGACTATACAGAAGTTTGTTTTAGGATTTCGTGCAAATACGACCTCTTCTAAAACACAGGAATAAATCACTCAAATTCAGGGCTAATTTAGCTGTCAAAAATAGATTGGATAGTTAAAAATAAAAAACAGTCCTCATTTGAAAATATTCACCAACAGACACACAAAGTACTGAGTATTGATATTTATCCTTCTTCATCACTGCTGCTCCACGCATCTTCAAATGCTGGATTTAATTGTGATTTAGTTGTAGTCTGAAAAAAGAAGAAGATTATATTTTCTACTCTCATAGTTTTAGGTTCACAATAAGGTTTAGTTTTGAAATACATCAGATGAATAGCAATTGGATTATTTTGAAAGAAACTGTGTAGCTGTTAATTTCAAAAAGAAAAGTAATTAAGAAACACCTCACATACAATATAAAATAATGTAACTTCACTTTAAACAGATAGACCAGACTTTATCCAGATAATGTTTGCTTCCTTCAAGAGTCACCTCATAAACACATCTAAATACTATGATGTTGCCTTTCCTTGAGGCATTTCTGCAACTCTTTAGAATTACCTGGAGAAGGTGGCACATTAACATCCATGGGGCCAAGACTGGACCCCATGTCTACTGTTTGACTTGAGAACATGATATAATTTAACATTGGCAGCTTTTCACTGCTTGGCAGGACTTGATTTTTGTCAACAAGCGAATATCCAAATGGAGTAATATGTTCATTGAGCTGAGTTAATACCATTTTTGGCCCCAAAAGTAATGTGGGCTATTACGTAGTGAGGTTTATTTTTTTTAATATGGCTGGTAAAGTAGTTCAGAAGCACATGTAAAATTTGTCAGAAATAGTAACGTAACTGGAATTAGCATGTAGGCTTCACTGGGAGATTTCTTTGAAGAACATGGATTTGGACTGTGTTTATTTAAACAACAACAAAACATCACAATAGTCTTACAACTTTTATTTACTTGTGGGGTTTTAGGTAAATTCACTTTTTTGGAATACCTTCTGAATGGATACCTTCTTATTCTCTGGCAAATGACTAAAAGGGCTTTAAGAGGGTCTCTCTTCTTTTATTTTTATTATTTGGGCTTTATGAGCCTGATTTTGCCTCTTGTTCTGTAGTGTTTACCTTTGCTACAAGTTTATTCAGATCCAAATCCCAGTAATGTATTAGCACCAAGACTACTCTTAAATTTTCTTAGATATAGTACCCTTTACAACATAGAGCAATATTTTATGTTAAGGGTAACCCCTACTACATGTCTGAGAATGTTCATTTTTTTTTTGATGAACATGAAATTGTTGCTGTTAGGTGCCGTTGATTCAGTTCTGACTCACAGCAACCCTATGTACAACAGAACGAAACACTGCCTGGTCCCGTGCTATCCTCACAATTGTTGTTTGAGCCCACTGTTGTAGCCACTGCTGTCAATCCATCTTGTTGAGGCTCTTCCTCTCTTTCACTGACCCTCTACTTTACATAACATGATGTCCTTCTCCAGGGACTCATTCCTTCCTGATAACATGTCCAAAGTACATGAGAGAAAGTTTAGCCATCATTGCTTCTAAGGGGTATTCTGGCTTGACTTCTTCCAGGACAGATTTGTTCATTCTTTTGGCAGTCCATGGTATATTCAATATTCTTCACTTACACCATAATTCAAAGGCATCAATTCTTCCTTCGGTAGTCCTTATTCATTGTTCAGCTTTCGCATGCATATGAGGCAACTGAAAATACCATGGATTGGGTCAGGCGCACACTAGTCCTCAAAATGAAATCTTTTCTTTTCAACACTTTAAAGAGGTCTTCTGCAGCAGATTTCCTCAACTGATATTGCAACATATTGGTTGTTTGATTTCTTGACTCCTGCTTCCATGGGCGTTGATTGTGGATCCAAGTAAAATAAAATCCTTGGCAACTTCAATCTTTTCTCTGTTTACTATGATGTTGCTTACTGGTCCAGTTGTGAAGATTTCTGTTTTCTTTATGTTGAGGTATAATCCATACTGAAGGCTATAGTCTTTGATCTTCATCAGTAAGTGCTTCATGTCCTCTTTGCTTTGAGCAAGCAAGTTTATGTCATCTGTATATCACAGTTGTTAATTAGTCTTCCTCCAATCCTGATGCAGCCTTCTTCTCATAGTCCAGCCTCTCAGATTATGCGCTCAACATACAGACTGAATAAGTATGGGAAAAGGATACAACCCTGAGGCACACCTTTCCTGATTTTAAATCACACAGTATCCATTTGTTCTGTTCCAACAACTGCCTCTTGGTCTATGTATGTACAGGTTCTGCGTGACCACAATTAAGTGTTCTGGAATTCCCATTCTTCGCAATGTTCTTTGCAAGGTTATGATCCACACAGTTGAATGCCTTTGCATAGTCAATAAAACACAGGTAAACATCTTTCTGGTATTCTCTGCTTTCAGCCAAGATCCATCTGACATCAGCAATGACACCCCTCATTCCACATCCTCTTCTGAATCTGGCCTGAATTTCTGGCAGCTCCCTGTTGATGTACTGCTGCAACTGTTTTTGAATGATCTTCAGCAAAATTTTATTTGCGTGTGATATTAATGATATTTTTCGATAATTTCCTCATTTTGTTTGATCACCTTTCTTTGGAATGGGCACAAATACGGAACTCTTCCATTCGGTTGGCCAGGTAGCCGTCTTCCAAATTTCTTGGCATAGACAAATGAGTGCTTCCACCATTGAATCCATTTGCTGAAACATCTCAGTTGGTATTCTGTCAATTCCTAAAACCAAAAAACCAAACTTGTGGCCATCGAGTTGATTCTGACTCATGGTGACACTACAGGAGAGAGTAGAACTGCCCCACAGGGTTTCCAGGGAGCAGCTGGTGGATTCAAACTGCCGACTTCTTGGTTAGCTTCCAAGCTCTTAACCACTGTGCCACTGGGGCTCCCATCAATTCTGGAGACTTGTTTTTCACCAATGTCTTCAGTGCAGCTTGGACTTCTTCCTTCAGCACCATTGGTTCTTGATCATATGCTACCTACCTCTTGAAATGGCTGAAGGTCGACAAAATCTTTTAGGTACAGTTACTCTGTGTATTTCTTCCATTTTCTTTTGATGCTTCCTGTGTTGTTCAATATTTTGCCCATAAAATCATTCAATATTGCAACTTGAGGCTTAAATATTTTCTTCAGTTATTTCAGCTTGAGAAATGCTGAGCTTATTGTTCCCTTTTGATTTTCTAACTTAAGGTCGTTACCCATTTCAGTATAATATTTCACTTTGTCCTCTCAAGCTGCCCTTTGAAATTTTCTGTTCAGCTCTTTTACTTCCTCATTTCTTTCATTTGCTTTAGCTACTCTACATTCAAAAACAAGTTTCACGGTCTCTTCTGACATCCATTTTGGTCTTTTCTGTCTTTTTAATGACCTTTTGCTTTTTTCACATATGATGTCCTTGATGTCATCCCACAACTCACCTGGTCTTCGATCATTAGTGTTCAATGCATCAAAAATCTTTTCTTCAGATGGTCTCTCAGGTGGGATATACTCAAGGTCGTACTCAGGCTCTCGTGGACTTGTTTTAATTTTCTTCAACATGAACTTAGACTCTTATTATTCAAACAAGGGTCACAGTGGAAAAAGTGGATGTTCCTGATAAATTCACTGAGTCTCAGCTAAAATATTTGGAAAACAATATATTAATTTAGGCATTCTTTGTAGCTGTTAAGTAGATGAGAGTCCATTACTAGACCTAATGTTGGCTATCATCACTTAAGTGTACAACCAAAATTCCATTATACCCTAAATCTTCAGATAACAAAACTATTATCAAACCTCAGCTAATTACCCACTTATTCCCAGTAGCAGTCCACTTGTTTGCAAGTGCAGTATGCTGAAATCTATCCATTCATTCCTTCATCCACACATTTATTGCATTTCCTATCCTTTTGGATTTACAATTTAACTACTAAGTTAGGTTATTTAGAGAGTGTTTATTCAAAGACTTATTGGCCTTTAGGCAACTCTGCTTTCCTACTCTGTCTTTAGAAGTCTTTTAACTCTGTCTTAGATATCTACCAAAAATGTCCCTGGGTAGATAAGCCAAACAAAAGTCATGCCTATTAATTCATGGTTGGCAATTCGAATCCACCAGGCGCTCCTTGGGAACTCTACGGGGAAGTTCTACTCGGTCCTATAGAGTCGCTATGAGTCGGAATTGACTTGAAGGCAATGGTTTTTTATTTTTATTTTTTTTTAATAGAAGCCCAATCAATGTGTAGCCTATGAAACATTTTTATTTCATTTGATGACTCAACAGGGAAGCAAAATTATATTTTATTATAAATTATTGTTCCTATGGTGAGCAAAAAACCAAAAATAATTAAATGAAAGTTGTAACAGCTGCATATAAACTTAAGTGTTTAGAGTAGTAGTAAAACAGATAATAAGAGTGAATGTATTATAGTATTATTATAAACATATTTTATTGCTATAACAATCACAAATAAAACATCATACTTATAGTTAAATCCACCTGAAAAAACAAAACCCAACGTCATCGAGTTGATTCCGACTCAGACTGCATAGGGTTTCCAAGGCTGTAAATTTCTATAAAAGCAGACTGCCACATCTTTCTCCTGCATAGTTAAACACTCCAGTAAAAACACTGTAGATGGATATCGTACACATATTACTGTTGAGACCCACTGATCATGTGTAACCACCCATCCACTGCTTCAGTTTTCTCTACATTTCCTCCTAGTGGACATTCAGACTATGCTTGAACATATCTATCTGTTCTTCACAAGGCTGCCCTTTCTACTGACAGACTGTTCTGAACATTATTAAGACAGAGAAGTAAGTTTATTAGTCTATATCCAAATAACTGGAATGTGGAATAAAACTATACTTAACATCCACAAGCGGATACATCTTGATAGATTTCTTACGGGAAACTACTGGAACGTCTCTCCATGTGGAACTTAGGGTTGTCTGTGTCAGCAATAATGATCTTATTTCTGTTCTATCTACATTCATAGTAATCGTTCAAAGTGAAGTTTGTGGAAATAATCTTAGCATACACCATTTTATATTAATATGAGAGTTATGGTGATCTTAAAATACATTAATAGTAGATTTCAAAAGTTAAGGTTTCATTAGCTCTAAAACTTAGATATAATGCTCAGCTTGATTTTTGGGTATCTCTATTTGATGTTCCTTGTTTTCCTTAATTTCTCATATATAAAAGGTCT